GTTCTGGGACCAAAAGGTAATGCCCATCCGTGCGACGTCTGTCCTAAATCGCTGTACCTAAACTCTGACCTTGTAGACTGAAATCTCGGAATGGCGACTCCCGCTAACAAGCAGTTGGGTGCTGTGATGGGAGGAACAGTAAGGGCGGAGTTTGCCTCCTGTTAGGTGATACAAGTGTATCGCTGAGGTGTACAGGTGCTACTACACCTGAGTTGGGGGGCTGGGGAGGACACGGAGGCGGTCTCCCAGTCTTGGTCACAGCCCTACTTAGAAAGTGAGAGTAGGAAGGGAAGTTTGTGCTTAGCACGTAAAACGCATCTGGCTACATCTTTAAACTCAGAGGAACTTAACTGGAGAATAGAGCTTGGTGGCCAGTAGACCTGGCATTGAAACCATGTAGCTATCGGTGTAGCCTCTTTGAGCCTTAGTTTCCTCAGCTGTAAAATGGCATGATGACTGATCACTTAAAAGTGGACCTTTTTAAAGGTACCCAGAAAAAGAATGGTGTATATGAAAATACCAGACATGTAAAAGGCACTCTGTACACAGTAGCTATTATAATTTCCTTTTTGCCAGAATACCTCGTAGGTTCCTTGTAGGCCTAAGTTTTTTGTGTTAAATGTAATAAATGCAAACTGATTTTCTTTATGAGTCGTAAATTGTTCCTGTCTTAAAAATCAGTGTTAAACTAGAAAACCCTTGAAAACCAAAAGGTGTTCTTGCCTTGAGTGTTTTTCTTTGTCATCAACAATGAATTAGATTAGGGTATAACAATGAAATACAATAACATTGTTACACAATAACAGTGAATTAGACTGGAATAGTTTTGTTGTTTCTGCCTCTAAATGTGAAGTTTATATGTGATTCTATTGCTGTGAAACTAGGTAAAGTCCTCCCTTAACTGCTCAGTAACTCGTTTTTGTTTTCGTAAACAGTATGTTAGCACCTATGAAGGCCATATCTGGGGAAAGGGGGGTTTTGTTTTGGCTGATTTGTTTTAGCTGGAAGGGGGCCCTAGGGATCATCTGTTAAACCAGTGGACAGTACTAGAAGTCAAATTTCCAGCCTCCTTTCCATGTAACCGAAGGCTTCTCGGGTAGTAACTATTCCAGTCATCCTTTCAGAAAGCATCTGGTAAGCATTCACTATCCTCCTCCCCCCAGGAAGCCCCTGGTCAAATGTAGAATCCTTTGAGCAGCAAGGTACTACAAAGGGTAAGTGCTCAGACCCTTTAGCCCGATGGCCTGAGTTCCATTCCTGGCATTACTTAACTCTGGGCAGGTTATCTGACTTCTTTGAGCCTCAGCTTTCCCATCTGAAGACTGTTACCTACCTCATAGATTTGTTGTGAGCTTAAAGATGATCTATGTAAAGCACTTAAGATAGCGTCCTACAGTGGTGTATATGTACACGATAAGTGTCAGGTATTGGTAGTGGTAGTGTAGGAAACAGAAAATAGTAGGATGAAGACTGTGGTTGAGGTTTGTTCCTGGGTCTAGTGGGTGGAGGGAACTGCGATCAAGGGGAAGGGAGGAAGATTGATAAGATTGGTTAAATAAATATCCCAAACTAGCATTGGATAAGGTTATTTCAGCCTGTTATGTCCTTCCCAAATAGCACTTTGGGCACGGAAGCTCTGGGGAGGAAGAGGTGACTAAGCTGACCTGTGAGGCATGGGTGAGACTTAGCCAAACCAGTCTGGAGTGCCAATGTGGGGGTGCCTCCATCTAATGGGGGGCCTTGACCAAAGCCCCTCAAGTGAAAAGGTGGAGTGGAACCCACCAGTAGAGTGTGGAAAACTAAGGATTCGTCCAGTTAGGTAAACAAAGGTGGATCAGAGTAACCTGGAAATGACACAGTAGAGATTGAAATTTTTTTTATCCTCCAGACTGGTGGAGGCAGTATAAAGTTTTTGTGCTTAGCACAGATAACATCAGATTAGATTTTTGGAAAGATTGTGCCTGCAGTCGTGTGGTATTGGGTCGAAAGTAGGGAATGTCCATCTACTTGTCTTGGCAGCTTCATGTCTGCCTGTGATTCCAAAGGAAAATGACGGCTTAGCAGAATTAGGCATTTTAACCCAAATCTGGGAGCTTTAGAGAATACTTACAGAAGGCGTGGGGAAATCCTTAGATTATTCCAGACAGCCTTCCCTCTTAAAAATTGTCTTCAAGTATATATAGTATATGCCTGATCACATGGCAGTGTTTCCCCCCAAAAGTCTCCCTCCAAAAGGACGGTGTTGCCTCACTTCCAGGGCTCTCCTGTCACGGGGCACTCTCTCAACCACTGTGTTTTGAACAAAGAGGTGCTATTTGGGAAGGACATAGTGGGCCGAAATAACCTTATCCAATGCTAGTTTCGGATATTTATTTAATCAATCTTACCAAATCAGTTAAACAAGAACACAAGAAAGATTCAGTAATTATTCACGGGGTGGAGGGATGTCTCACAATGTGCAAATGTTACATGCTATTGGAAACAGAACTTTTACATATCTCCCCCCCCCAAAAAAACAAAAAATACAGTAAGTGACGAATGAAAAGAAGTTCTCCCCACCTGAATTGATATTGATGGCGTGGGTTGAGATTTCTAGCAAGAGTATGTATGGATTCAAAAAGTGCTTTATCGTAACTGATTTAGTAGATGTGAAGATAAAGTCATTTGGAAAATGGAATTTGATGATTCATAGTGGCTTAATTGATCATAGACACTGGTATTTAAGATATGAATGGTGAGAGTAAAGTTGTTTCATGAATTAATATATTGCCTTATGTAATATATTTTATATATGTAATATATATGTAATGTATTTTAATATAAATATAAATTAATAAATTAAAGATTATAGTTAGACATTTGACTTTCATCTACAACCCTAAAAGGTATTTTAATTAAAGTTGATCAAAAAATTTTCTTTTTAATTTTTTCATTGCAAGGGTAAGATTGTCTTAGGTTTGAGCTTACCTTTTAGTTGGATGTTTTACAGAAGTTAACTGCTGCTCTGTTTCTCTGCTGAAGCAAATTCCCTTTTCCCTTCTCATTTTTTGATTTTAAGAAGATTTAAAGAGCATTGTTTACTGGCAGGGTTTAGAAAGCACCATAAAGAACTTCCATTCATAATTCTTTGTTTAGCAGTCAAACAAAAAAGATACCCTTCCAGTAAGATGTAGTGAAGTGTATCTGTATCTTAATAACTTTACAACAGTGGTCCCCAGCATGTTTGGCACCAGGGACCATTTTCGTGGAAGATAATTTTTTCATGGACCAGGTGGGTAGGGGAGGGTGGTTTCAGGATGATTTGAGCATATTACATTTATTGTGCACTTTATTTCTATTATTATTACATTGTAATATGTAATGAAATAATTATACAACTCACCATAGGTTGGGGACCCCTGCTTTACAATGTTTGGCAAAAGGTAGCTCTGTTTTTATAAACAAATTACTAACTTTTGGAGATTTTGTAATTAGTAAGCAGAAGTGTTAGACAGAACTTTGTGAACTAACATTTTTAAGCTAAGGTGCTTATGCGTTAGTTTCACAAGGTAATGTTATGCTGTAGAATTCTATCATCCAATTCAATAACCATTGGTGACATAAGACTACTTAAATTACAATTAATTAAAATAATTCAGTTCCTTAGTTTCACTAACGACACTTTAGTGACTGGTGGCTAGTGGCTACTGTTCTGAACAGTGCAGATCTAGAACATTTCCATCGTTGCCGAAAGTCCTCTTGGACAGTACTGATCTAGAATGAAAAATTGAAGATCATTTCACTCTACACACACACACACACACACACACACACACACACACACACTTAAATGTCATTAAGGCATTTCTAAGACCTCACTTACTGCATTTGAATACAGGAACAGTGAAAAGCCTAGGAAAACATATCTCCCCTTATTCTGAGAATAGAACATCTTATTTCTTCTGTCTGTGGAGGTATTTGCAAGTGGAGTATGCATGACAGTTTTCTTTTTTTATTTTTATTTGG